GGCTTCGGACAAAACCAGCACGTTTGTATCAGTTAAAAATTGTTCCTTACTTGATTTTAGTCCTGGCATCTTGAATCATTAATATTAATGAATTAATTAATTAATGAATAGCGTCAAGAACAGKGATCTTCGGGCACTCAATACTACTGCATCCGCCATATAGAAACTGGATCATTTTTAAAATAAGGTTTTTACGAAAATGTGCTTTCAAAGCTCGAATGATCCCTTGATCCATGGGTTGCAACACTGATGTCTTATTTAGAGACAGAAATACTAGGGTTATGCTTTTCAAGTATGCACAATGGTGATGTGCAGGACAATTGTCAACTAACAGCAGGATTTTCTTATTCTTTTTCGTATGTTTACGATCCCATGCGCGTGCCCATTTGGTAAAAATTTCACCAGCCATTCAGGCTATTCGATTGCTCTCATAATCCACTGGCAAATGCCGTACATTTTTAAAACATCTTGTCTGGGGTTAATTTATAAAACAACCCGGTCTCATCTGCATTAAAAATTTCATCATCACTAAATTGAGCACGTAGAGTAGGCCAAACTTTTTCTAACCAATCGTCTACATCACTCTGTTGTACTGACGAAGACTCGCCAACAATCTTTAAACTGACGATGTTGTRTATTACTTTAAAACGGTTTATCCAACTCATGGAACATATGAAATTTTGCATGTCTAACAGTCTAGCAAAAAAATTTTCTTTCTCTTGTAACAGAGGTCCATTAAGAGGTATTTCCCGGTCGCGCTGAAGYTTAAACCACTGTAACAATGCCTTATCCAACTGCTCATGAGTAGAAGTTCTTACACGTTTGCATTTCAAAACATTGCCATCTTTATCTTTATCTTATTCTGATATTGTAGAATGAGATACGCCAAACTCCTTTGCGAGGGTCGCTTTCAGCCTCTAATCTGTGTAATATTGCGCTCTTTTCTTAATTGTAAAACACTTTCTCTTCACAGAACTCATTTTATGGCGCTCAAACCGGAGTCGCACTAAACGGTTACATTTTCTCAGTATCTAACTATTAAAACGAACTTGAGTAAATAATATCGATGCTAGAAGCGGTTAGACGTTATAAGTGACGTCTTTATAAATGAATTCTACTATAATAATTTTAATGTACATATTTATATCCTAAGCCACTAAAGCTGCAACAGCTAAATTCGCCCGGCGAAAATATTATAAGAACTCCTACTGACAGTGCAAAAATCGATGAAATCGAATAATATTCCCGCTCACTCCCCATAYAACGGTACTGTTAAAAACGAATAAGGGCGCCGTAAATCAATAACTATATACGCACTAATAATTTAAAAGCTTCCCTTGCCAGCTCTGGATACGAGTATTCGTGTTTTCTTTTCATCCAAAATACGTGAAATGAAATTTCATTGAACTGTAMGAATATATTTTGGAAAAATAAATGTTGCAAATAATGCATTTTCAARGTGTTTAATTTAGTGTTTTGTATAATTTATTAAATACCCAATCTAATATTTTTCAGCAGTGGCATAATTGGCAAATGTTATAAAAAATGTCAGTTTTGACAGCTCTCTCTCGAATCAAAGAGTCTCGTATTATATTATCCATGACTACGCTTAACTGAGTGATGAGAGTAGAAACAAAAGCACATTGTGGGTGGCGCGCGCGGGGCGCTTGCTGTTACCGCAACGACAATCATGCCGTGCGGTGTGGCAACGTYGCCGTCGCCGACGCAGTATGACCCGCCCGAATAATACATAAATTTGCCAAAATAGGAAAAACTTATTACYTAACGTATGTAGTCTTTTAATTAAAATTAAATTATTTCTTTGACTTACTAAGACACAAGGGGGTCGCCAGAAGACTGGTTACAGAATCCCGCTAATTGCCTGTTTTGTTGTGACATTGTACGGATTGCAAAAGTTAGCAATCTATCAACTTTGGACCTTATACCATGTTCAGACCGACACTCAATCACWCGATTTCGGCTGTTGAGCGGTTTATCCCACTAATCCTATAAATTTATCAAGATTTAGCTATACAAAAATGACAGTTCAAAATCACTTCATCGGAGTGCAATGAATCTAATTTCACCTGAAAATCGACTTCCTAAATGAAAAAATGCGTCCATTATTTYCATTATATGTGACCTGGTCTAAAAAAAAGGGAGCTAACGTGCGAAAACTAGTTTATGACTTTTTGGATTCTATCACGTRAAAAAGCATCTCATCTTCCATCCGAATCAACTAAGATWTTTTGATACCTAARCCTATGTGGCTTTTATTACAAAATGCTATATGACAATGTTTTCTTTTTATAAATATTGACCGATGTGAATTCTTGAAAGGCAAAAACAGCTGTTTTTCCATCTTTTCAACGGCAGTGAGAACGGGCTGTTTAGTGAATGTAATTAAATGTATTGCGGGATATAAAGTCTCAATTTGTGACTAGTTACTATTCACTAAACAGTCTCTAGCGTTGAGTCTCAAAATATTACCTAAAATTTGAGACCTGATAATTAGCTCGTCACGAAACTAAAAGACACTCTGGTCTACCATTTTGATTATACTGAATAGAGATCATCATAGATGTAGAAATGAGCATCCTCCCCCGACCTCAACACACACACACCACATTATCACACCACATCGACTCAAACTTACATCACTAACACGCCACATTCACCACATTATGCTTACAACCCACATTCTACACWACTCACGAGAGCAGCACACACCGACACCTACACACACGTACACCAACCACAGCAGTTACAGCATCATATTCAGCACCAACGAAAGGATAAAGAAGGACCGATTACCAACCTCAGRCCTCAGTTCSTTCTACGACACTATCGTCGAYCGGTCATACGTTTGCCAATCCAGTTTTTTATCCGCCGTCATCCTCTTGCGAAACCAACCGCGTTATTAAAGAGAATCTCACCTCTAAAAACGTGTATTTCCGAATATTTTCAATTCTTTTTAAATAAAACCTGTGTTGGTACACCCATCCACAACGAACTTTAAACCTTTTTTTCTTTCGGTATTTATTGCTTTTTGGTGAAGTGGACAAAAGGAACTAAAGGGTGAGTGCACTAATATAACAATAGATATTAATCGGTTGTCGTTTTTTTTTTATATTTTTTAAGTAACTCAAACACGAAAGCGTTTAAAAAAATTTTTACATAAATTTCGTAAATATTATAAAACGAAGTAAACATATATTTTTATTTTTATTGATAATTATGTTTTTTGACTATGTTATAGAAAAATTAATTTTTGTTATCGACATAATTATTTTCATTCAAGTGTATAAACATCTCTGAATAATGAAGTATAATATATTTTGTGACTGTCTCTTACAGAATAGCAAAACCGTCTTAAGTCTCAAAAATTGTCAAAACTTAAAATCTCAAATTTAGAGACTTGAGACTGTATCATARTACAGAATCGCACGGATAATCTAATCCCCTTAAAATTTCGGTCTGARCATGGTATTATTATTTTTACACTTTTTAATATCGTCCAAGTTAAAATAAATTAGTGAAAACATGTATTCGAATTTCTTAGAGGGATTCTTGTGCAATCGTACCACGTTACAAGATCAGGATAGTTCCTCTAATATTTGGTACTATAATTCCACATGTCAATTAGTGGTTTACAATTTTTATAATAGACCCACATCTAAATTCAATTTAAAAACTGATGTACTGAACTACTAGTTTTTGGATTTTGGTCTGACACATTTTACAGCCATTGCAAATAGTTTTCTGCATATGTTTGGTGTTGTGACGATGCACAAAGTGAAAAATTCTGTAATTCGTGCAGCGTGCAAGAGCTTTGCCAGAGCAAAAGAATACTAATATATTCGTGAAATGACACGTAAAAATATAATTACAACCCGGTTTTAGCTGTCATTTTACATAAAGACATATTACGCCTGTAAATTGTTGAGGAAGGTAAGTTTTAAAWAGATTTTATAATTTTATTTAAATTATAATGAATAGTTACACTCTTTTTGTTAAATGTCCGTTTCCAGCTCTCAAGTAAATGCTCAAGAAAAAATTCCTTATTTATTGAGCTGTAGTAAGTAATTTGACAGCAGGTTACATATAAATATTTTCATTGCGATTTAAGGAATGGGGATGAAAATTGGTAGGTTTTATATTAAATTTCAAAATGAACTGATACTTCATAATAATTACTTTAACAAATTTACGATGAATTTAACGATTACTTTGAATTTCCTTCAAGACCCAATTGTTGATTTCATGTTTCTTCGCAAAMCCAGCGATGCCATATTCGCATTTTATTAAAAAAATGTATTAAAAATTATTACTGGATTTCTTTAGAGCTGAAATTTTACCGCAGGAATGCGTTTTTTATATGACGTTTTTACATTTCTTGAGACCTGGAATCTACCCTTAAGAATGAATAGTAATTTACAATAAATTGACCGAATCAGCTGTTTATATACAGTTAGATTCTGAAATGGGTGCTCCCGTGCCCTTGCATATTTCGGTGTAGGATATTTGCTATTTGTGTCATCGTGCAATCTTACAAGAGCAAGAGAATCTCTGTATTATTTCATTTAGATTTAAAAGTTTGTGTAAATATATCAACACTGTAGTCCCATGATAAGCAAATAAACTCAGATATGTTATATACGAACGTCAACTCGACGTCAATCTGACATTTTCTCGTTGCCACCCAAAGTGTACAGTTTTTTATACCTTTGGTTTATAGTTATTTTCGCAGAGTTATTTGCAATAAATTAAATAATTCATTTTTTGAGAGAAGCATAAATGCAAATCTTAAAATAAAACGGTGGCAGAATTACTAATTTTCTGAAAAAAATATAAATGAAGTGTATTGTAAGTGTACATACGAAACAAAAAATGTGTACATAAAATCAAAATTTTGAGCAATTTTTGGAACAAATCAAGAAAAACCAAAAAATATAGGATACAAATTTGCAGTGAATCAAAAAAAAAAAAAAAAAAGAATATAATAAAACGGGATTAGACTTTTGCGAATTTTTTTAATATAATCCACTGAAATATTCCCATTTGTCAAAAAGATCCTTTTGCATGCAATTATTCATCATAACTTCTGAATCACACCCTAAAAAGATAAGAAGAATAGCGTGTGGTTTGCAACAAACCCATACTTGGCAATCAATGTATAGTGAAAATATATAATCAAGTTTAATATTCCGTCTATTATTCCTCTAAAATTTACGCTGCGAATACACAATAAAAGTGTAACATTCGAATCGACGGAAATTATACTAATTTATTTCTTCTTTTTAATATTTTCATCGAACCTTAATGTGTGTACATACATATGTGGTTACGTTATACCCTTAAATACAAAGCAGTTGCTTAATTCGAAGACTATTTACTTAACTCTGCTATATAATAAAAATATCAATTTGGATCGAAGAAATCTATAAAGTAAGTGGAGTGGTACAATATTTAATTAAACATAAAAATATACGTGAAATCCTAAAAATTTACGCTCAAATGTAATTAATTCAGAATGGGATTAAGATGTATAATTTTTGAAATTGAACAATACAAATTTGGATTAGTTTTTTTAATATCATTGTAAAAATTTGTTTTAACTTAGGGAAACTACACGCTGATATGCAAAGCTAGTTCTAATTCTAAATTTCTACAGTTAYTATGTTTGCGAGTTTACAAAAATCTACAATTATTCATTTTAGAGGAAGATAAGATAAGATAAAGAATGAGGATTGCACCGCGACCTAGGGTCTATTGTGCCCTCTACTAACTCACAGCGTCTCACTTAGCC